AAGATTGATACTGGTAAATAACCAGAAAGTTACAGATTGGCAAAAAAAAAAAAAGTTTTCATATTAGACCAAAAAAATGTCAAAGAGCCATAAATGAAGATTTGAGCGAAAATTAAACAATAATTTCAAATGATGGATAAATTGTATATATTTAAAAATTAAAACAGGATGATTTTATTATTCATTATATTCACAAGTTATGAAGTATATTTTTAAAGGAACTCTGAGAGAAAATAATTTTGTTCTTAATTATAAACGTCGTAAAAATTTAGAGACTGCTGAAATCTCATTTGAATTACAAATTTTTGGGTGCTTATTTGGGCATTTTAATTGCCTGATGATATAGCAATATGACCCTTTGCAACTAAATTACCTATTTTTCTCAAATATATGTTCATTGCTTCTCCAATTCAAGGCAATCACTGCCTAAATAATTTATATTACACAAATCGATCCACGAGATAAGAAGTTCGTAAAAATTTATTATTTAGTCAATATTATATTTACCAAATATATAGGCTGCTTTTGATAGTTAGGGCTTTCAAAGTCATGTCGAAGGAAGCCCTGTTCCTAAATAGAGCTCTGAATAGTGTGCGTGTAAATTGTGTTCAAAGGACAAAACGCTATTAATTACAAGAGAACGGTTCCGAATTGAACTGCAAACAACAGAGTGCCGAGAGTGTTCAAGTCGAAGGCATATCGCTGAAAAATCAATTATCCATCTGGCCGAGCACAAAGCTGGTGAAAATTATTATTTAATCACTTGAAATGGCTGCGCCGGCACGCGATGCCGGCAGGAAAATAATTTCCTAATAAAGCCAATTTCGGCCCCTTTGCCGATCGCCACCCCTGCGCCTGCAAATAGGAAAATAACAAAAGTTGGCGGGTGTTGAAAAGCAGCAGCAGCCGCCGAAAAGTTTTTGCTCGCCGCAGCACCGGCGGAGAAGTTGCTCGGATGAAAATGGTGCTGAGCTATTATATTTTTATTATTTCTCAACACGGGAAAACGCTCTCTTTCTCTCTCTTTGTTATAACGAGATACTTTTAAGAGAGCAGCTAAATCTTCATTATTCGCAAATTCGTCTGCTGCCGGCCAAGTAACGAGATTATTTTTTCATCTCTGCATAAGGGCCGCGTATATAGCAAGCAGTGCCTCTAGCCGGCCGTTATCACCACCGGGTCAAATTGAGCCCTTGTTTTTACAAGCTGATGTTGTTTCTCACAATCTCATCCAAAGCTTGCTTACTACAAGCATGATGGAGCAAAACGCCTTTTGATGGTGGAAAAATGAAAGAGGCATCATGTTATGACGTTATGAAGAACACAATTATATATACCTCCGTTGTCTGGAAATGTCTCGATTAAACAAAACTCTCAACTTCTCAAGCTTTATTTATGTGGGCTAATAAAAGTTAAATTAATTACATAATTATAAATTTTAATGAATCCTACAGAAAGAAGGAAAAATATTATTTTATTTCCATTGAAATTCAAAGGATTTGAAGAAAAGATCAATTTATTTATAGAAAATTAAAAGTATATTAATTAATGTGTATTTATTTAAACAACAATACACAATCCAGTAAAGATTAAATTTAAACAATAAAATTAAAAACAATTTATGATATCAATAAAATAATATTAAATTTTAATATAACTTTGAGAATTAATTATTTTTTATTCCAATAAAAATTTTTTATGATCGTAAGCAGTAATTGATATTAAAAGTTTTTTTATAAATACCTATAAGTAACCCGTAGTGTACAATGTATCTATATGTTTGCATTCGCTTCATCAATGAATTTGATTAGCATGACTTCCCTCTCATTATATTTATTGATAATTAATTTGACGAAAAAAAATCAAATCGGTTTCTATTTTGTTGTGTTTAACAAAATAAAATACAAAAAAATACTCATATATTATGCATAATTTGATTCTCCGCAGTTGAAAAATGAAGTGGCATCCATCAAAGACATGCGAGCGGAAGGTGGCTTGTTGTTGCCACCTTTTTCACGAAAGTGCTTTGGAAATTTACGTGCTCGAGAGAGGTGTTGAAAAGTTCCGTCTCTTTTCACGACATTCTGCGATTGATCATATTTGCCTCGGGAATAAAGGCACGCGGCATCACCAGGCCAATATTTACAAATTGAGTACCAAGCCCGAGAGTGTGTGCGTTATGTGAGCAAATAATGAAACAAAACACGCCAAGCGCAGCTCTATCAAAGGCGGCAGCTGGAACTGGCTCCGTCATGCATAAAAGATCAATTCAAAAGTCAAACTCGCATCAATATTGCATCGGCGTCGTGTGTTTTTATGGTCCGCGCCAAATATATTATAAAAGGGTGCGCGTTATTCGCACGCTGGAAATTTCAAAACACACGTGGGGCCGCTGACACTTCTTTGTGTGTATTTGGGGCCGGAGAATTGATTAACGCTCACCATCAAAGAGTGGCTGTTGGCAAAGGGAATTTTAGAGGCGCGCGCGCTAATTATTGGCTGAAAATTGCATTTCGCCGAGAGGCGCGGCGCCGTTTGAAGTGGAAGCTGCGAGAGGGTTTCTCAATTTGCAATAAGAAGCCGTAAATTTCAATTTCATCTCGCGCGCGCCCAAGGTGCGAAATAATGAAAGGGAAAGTGTGCGGCGGGAACAATAATAAAGTTTGCCAACCCTTCCACTACATAAAAAGTTTTTATTGTTAAAGTTGGGTAATAATTTTGGGCCTCTTTTGCCGGCGGAGAGATGATAATATTTCAGCCGAATTAATTATTGATGGCGCGCGGCGGCGGACTTGAATATTGATTTCTTGCGAGTGATAATCAGCACTCGGGGGGCCAATTGACGATAATGCCCTCTTGCCTTCCGAGAAAGGGCGCGCCAACATTAATTTTACTGCCGGCAAGGTGAAAATTAGGGGACCACGCTGATGGGGAATGCAAAGATTAAAGCTGAAAACTCATGGACTGGAAGAATTTCCACCAGAACATAATTGGATTGACGAATCACCCAATTTAGGGTAATTTCCTCAAATTCATAAACTTGGCATAATTTGATTCATGAATAAAATATAATTATTGATTTTTTCCCCTAATAATGTAGTTAATTAATTTTTATTTGCCTGCAAATTATTCATTTGGCGTTGAAAATTGCAATAAGAATACAGAAATAAAAATGCTAAATTCTTTTAAATTTTAATTGAATGGCTTAAAATAATTACTTATGCAACAAATTCAATATATTTATATAATATTAAATGTAAACTCATCAGTGATTGTAACAATCTGGATGAATAATCACAACAATAAAATTATTTATTACAAAATGATTGTTCAATATTTTCTTACACATCGATTTTAAACTGAGGGCTTAGGTAACAAAATGATGAATTATTGTAATATTGTTTGTGATACTCATTATCAAAACCGCGGCAACAGAGAATTTCAAATTTCAAATAAATATTAACGTGACTTAAGGCTTCTGTTAACTTGTTTTTAGGTGGTCTTTTAAAAACAATCAGCGTTGCAGTTGATTTTTATAAGATTGAAATTAATTATTTAAATTTTATAAAATTTCTTTAAATTGTAAGCCTGGGAAGTTTTTATTTACAATGCCGATTAATAATTTTTTCCTACATGTTATCTTAATTTTTTTTTGTACACTTAAACTCATTTTTTTTCTTTCAATTTCATCATCGCTAGTAATTTTAGTTTTGACACCATCATCAAACAGATCAAACAAAATTAGATGATTTACTGGAGTCCATTGTTTGCTCTGAAAATTACATCTTGTTTGAACCGAACCAGCAGGAAGGGGAGAGAAATCCTCATTTTGAGCGGTGAATATTTCATTCGCGCAGCGCCACGTTTCATCACTTCCAGCCGCCAAAATTATTTAAGGTGCCGCAAATCATATTAAGGAGGGAAGGCAAATATTTGCGCGCTTGTCGTCTACAACAAGCAAACAAAGGGCCGGATTGACTGAGAACACACGCGAAATTCAGGTTGGCCGCCCAGCTCACTCACCTTCCCTCGTGGCAGGTGGGCCTGAGCACAAATTATGTGTGTACGCGCACGTCGCCCCTTTTGTATTTGAGGCGGCACCACAAAGCTGATTATGCAGCAGGCGAAACAACCTTGGCGCCTCTTTTAATTATTCATCATTTATTCAAATACCCTCACACTCTCTTGTTCTGATTGCGGACGCAGAATTCATTCTGCTCGTGTGAGGTTGGTACCGCCCCATATTGCCGCAGGGCAAATAATGCATGTTTAATTACGTAATTAATTATGTAATGAAAAGTAGAGATGGCCAAAATCTAATTAAACTTTTGAAGACTTCATTGGAATTCAAAATACGAGTGAAAATAAGAGACACTGGAATTTACATTCAGCAGTTCTGTACTAATATGAAACCTAAAACATATAAATTTACTCAAATCAAATTCATTAAGAATTCCTGATTAGATTAACTCTGCAATATTTAATAGTTCGGGCAAAAAATACAATAGTATATTATATTGTTTAACTTAAAAAATTTAAAGCACTTTTACAATTTTTCAATCGAATCTCTTTGTAAAACATATTAAATGTTATTGAAAATTTCAAATTTTATAAAAAAAGATAGCCAAAAAGGCCAAATGACTTTAAGTAATTAACAAAAAATAACTTTGAAAAAATAAAATTTCCTTCGAGTTTGTGTTATTTTCAACAAAAGTTTTAATCCTGCAATTAATTTCTAGATTGAATTAGTTGCAAATGAGATTTAATTTAATTTTTAATTATGCCACAATTTAGGTTTAAAATATTTTCATTGGCATAAGTGAAGAACGAAATAATAAATTAATTGTTTATAATAACCTAATATTTGACGGAGCCTATACGAGTTGAGTGGTTTACTTGGGTTCAAAGGCCCATCCAAAATCAATTAAAACTTTGCAGATTAAGGAGTCTTGAGATCGCCTGCTCGGATTGCGAAGCCCTCTGAAAAGCTGCGCACTTACCTCGACCGACGGCACAACTTATCTCGCTCGTTAGCCGGAACTCGTCGCCGAAATATCAACTTGGCACAAGAAGAAGAAATTTTCGCGTCGCTCGATCAGAAGCAACTTTGGAGAATTATGAATGCAGCTGGTTGGAGGGCAGGCGTGCGGTGCAGCCACCGACGGCAACGGCAGAAAGACTGACTCGCTTGGGCCGCCGGTGTTTGGCGCCCCACGCCGAGCTGGATAGGCGGCCGGCGGCTGCGCTTCTTGCTCTATATTTCACCGGCTGCACACGCGAAATATACACACACACCGACCGACGCAGAGTACATGTACAACTACATCACTACAAAGACTGGCGCTTAAGCAACTGTCGTGCCGCCAACCTGGCATATTCGAACGCGAAAAGCGGCCAGGCCAGCCCCTAACGCATCCACTTTTAATGAGTTTCGGCAACCTTGCGCACACTCGCAACTACGGTTTATGGCATAGTCAAGAAAGCAGCAGGAAAAATTTAGGAACACAAAAAGTGGGCGTTTCATAGCTGTATTTTGTAATTATTATCTAGAAGGTTGAATTTTTCGGGAATAATCTAAAAAAAATTAAACGTTATTAAAATTCAAAAAATGTTTGCCATATTCAGCCATATTCAATTATTTATATTAAAAAAATTCTTTGGAATATCGCAGGTGATTTTTTTTTTTTTTTGGTTCAGGTCAACATGTCAACATAAAGTGTCTTTTCAGCCCGTGCTCTTTTTTGAGTTTGCGGAGGGCAATCTCTCACCTTAATTATACATTTATATAATTGAGGTGGTGAATTGCAGATATTTTTTTTTGTTACAACACTGTCCAAATACTGGATATTGTCAATTTTAAGGAGATCACAACGTACCCTGAAATGCGGATAATTAAACAAAATTTTAATTAACGCAACAAAATGAAAAGGCAAAAAAATATTATTTTGTATTTTACGTATTTCAGATAAATATATTTTTATCAAGCTAGAAGAATTTGGATCTCTTCAGCTGCAAACAAAAGAAATAGATACTTTTAGGAATTTATTAGTTCATTTATATATAGCATTTTATTTGCTGAATGATACTTATGGGTAATAATGTATTTCAATTACATAAGTATAGGGCCATTAAAAGTAACATGTAGTGCCATTGAAAGGACTACAGCAGCAGCTCCATGTCACAAAATCCTTGATCACGAATCATGCGCCCTCGTAAACTTGGAAAAAAAACATTCAGCAAGTTACATTCCTATTTTATGTTGCTCTCACAGCATCCGCGTCTCCTTTATAGATTTAAAAGGAATTCGCTCTGGAATACATAAAAAGAGAGGAGATGCTGCAAATAAAGACACAAAAAGTGAGGCTCATAAGACACACTCGTTGTCCGCCAGCCTGCATATTGGAAAGGGGAAATAAATTGAAAACATCGCGCGCGCAAAAATTTGCGAGACACAATAATTTCTGCCTGCAGGGCGCGCAGTTGAATTTTATTACAAATAAAGCAGCGAAACAATCTCTTGAGTTGGCATTCCTTCAGAGGGCTTATTTCGCATGCAAGCAAAATAAAACTTGGCTGGCTGAATCTTACTTCAACCGAGAAAAGGGACGGCGGAGACTCTCGCTCGCTCGCCTGCTCGCTAAATCCATCCAGAAACAATTAAACACAACGAGCTCGATTTAATCTCAACGTCCGCAGCAATTATTTTGTCTCCGACAAATTGGAGCTCAAGTCTCTCACAGGCTCATCTCAACTCGAGTTTAATAGTCAGTAAAATTGGGAACGTCGGCTCTCGGTCTGAATTTTGATTGGGCCCGGCCATAATTAAACAGCTGCCTGTTGCTCTTGACTCGTAAAATAACCTCACCCTGTTCTCCTGTGGACGTGTACGCTCTGCACCCACCCACCCACTCTCGCCACGAGCTCATAACCAGTCACTTTTGCTCTCACTCGGCCGCGTGCGTCAACCAGCAAATAATTATCACAAGGACAAAGGGGATGGTTTTATTAATGAAATAAATGCTTCAAATTTAAAAATTTGAATTTATAAAACATAATAAAATTACAAAATAATTGAAGAAATGAAGAGAAATTTTTCATTGATTCATTTTTTCAATAATTGTCAATCAGCCAATTTTTATATGCTGAGTTAGGTTGAATTTGATGACACTGAATGAGAAATGTTGTAAAAAATTTATTTAACAAATGGATGATGATTATTTTCTTTGTTAACTCTGCTAATAAATTCTAATTAAATATTTTCAAATGTTTGTTTTCAGCCTTTCAGTGATTCAGTCTAAAATGATGTCTAAAAAACCAAAGAAATTTTTTCCAATCGTTTAGCGTTTTTAAATTTTACCATATATATTTGAAATTGGAAAAAAGGCAACATACTCTTACTCTGGTTATCTGATGGTATAGCATTATATAATTTTTTTATTTTAAAATTTTCTTGAAATTAAAGTATTAAAGTATGGATCATTTAAGTCCTTTTTGTTATGCAACTAAAAATTTACAAATAACTTCAACAGTTAGCAGTGACAAATTGTATTAATCAATTCTTATTAATTATTATCTATTGTTTTACTGCAGAAACACTTTGATCTCGTGAAAAAGCCAAATTATTTCATAGGTTCAATGTTCAATGCCAATGAAAGCTTTGATTCGGGATTCTGAATGAATAAGTCTGGATTAGTCAAGCCAACATTGTTGCCATTTAGCTATCTTGAAATTAAATTTCGACAATGGTTCCTAGACCAATAATAATTATAATACTTATCTTTGGAATGCATATTTATATAATAAATATTGTAAGTGATTTTTTTTAAATTTGTTTTTCTCCACTTCTTCGACAAAAACCGCTTATTGTGCCACCCAATCTGTTGTGAGTGCTTTCATTGATCTGATGCTCAATTCTGACAGCCTTTTGCAGCGGACACAATAGGAAATAATGTAACATCGGCGGCCTCGGGAGATGAATATTATTCGTTAGCGGGCAAAGTCTCGTCCCAAGTAGGGCATTCATCAAAAGTTTCGGGTCCAGATTGCGAGAGAGAGCAGAGCTACCACCCAGGAAGAAGATGGAAAAGGGCCTTTGTGCGTGCGCCAGCGTGCGGATGCGTTTTTGCCACTATGGCTGGCCAACTTTGGCTGGGCGGCTAAACACCTCAGGTCATGTCCGTCGCTTATTCATCAGCAGCAGTACAAGCAGTCTAGCTCGGCGAACAGCTTCCACCAGCAAGTTGTAAAGCGAAGTGTGTATCGCGCCCCTCGGAGCAGCGACGCTCTAATTGCCAACCCTAGCTGGCTGCGAAAGCGGTTATTTCCATTCATTGTGTGCCATCTTGCGTGCCGCGACGCGTTTGCAAAATCTCGGCAGTCGCACTCACTTAACTTACAACACTGCCGAATCGTAAAAGCTAACGACTCTTCCATCCCTCGCTGCCTCACTCGCGAGTTTTAACTCGATTAAGATGATCGTTTCATTGAGCCCGTTCGTTTTATCACGTAGTCGGCGCTGAACGTTCTCTTTTAAATTGCATAAATGTTTCCTGAAGCGTTATGCATTGGATTCTACAAGAGGATTATAAAAAAAAATTTGTTTCAATTATAATTTAAAATCCACAAAACAACATAAGAATAATTATTTTGTTTCTTAAATTTGATTTATATATAATGTCGACTTAAAATGAAGTTTAGACTAGAATAAGAATAATTCAGGAATCATTTACGAACATACGCTCTTGAGTATTTTTTAATGTAATCCTCAGATTGTGAATTCAAGAATAGACTTTGAATTGCTTCATCTTATCAATTTTCAGGCAATTATTCATAATTATGTAATTAAAAATAAAAGCAATCGACTTTCAAGTTTTTTTTTTTAAAGGGAAAGTTTAAGGTCAATGAAATGGACTTTGACCTCTGACCCATCCTTGGCGGGCAATGGAAAAAAGTTCAGTTCTCATCACTCTGAATTTTGCTTTTATTGCAAAATCATTCAAAAGCAATGTAATTACGGTGAAATAATTATAGAGCCAGCAGACAGATTGCTAAATTATACATGTAAGCGGCAACTCGGCAGATCAATATTTTCCTTCAATACCAGTTCCAGTGTGGGCTGCTTATTATTTTAACCCAGAAATCTAATTTGTGTAAAGTGAAATGTTGAATAAAATAATTTTATTAAATAAAAAAAAAATTTAAAATTGGAATTTTCAACTATTGTCAACAAAATTGATAAAAATATAAAATTTAAAATTATTTTTTAACTTTTTAAATCGGTTTTTAATTTTTGAAAAAGTAATAATTTATTTTCTTTGCTCACAGTCATATTTTTTTTTACTCCGTGAAATATTTTGTTGAAATTCCTTGTCAATTCATTTTTTAAACTTTTTGGAGGAACTAGCATTAAAAACCTCCCAACCGACATCGAAATCTAAAAAATAAACCATGCAACACGAGAACAAACTGTCAGGGTGGAGCTGCCTCTCGCCTGCTTATATTCCAACCCCACAAGACAAGTTGCGTGTTTCTATATATACGTGTATTTGAAATGCGAGTTTGCCCGCCGCAAAGACTTAATAGGCTTCTAATTGCGTTTTAAATTAGGCTCGAATCTGAGTGGCATGCACATGGAAAAGGCGTGTTTCTTTCCATTTGCAAGCGGCGGCGGCTGACTGGGGTGACACAAGCACACACCCTTAAATAAGCTCGATATTAAATGGATTGGCCGAGGAGTTGCGCGGGAAATTAAACGCAAATTATAAAAGTAGCAGGCGGTCGTGGTCTCGCTTTCCCTCAGATAAAAATGACCATAACTCGAGCCCGCATTATGCATGCATGTGTCATTTATTTTTACGAGAGGACCTGCTTGCACAGGATGGAACGAGACGATGAGTCTAATTCAGCACAAAGAGACCCGCCGCCGCCGCCTTCTATCTTTACTACCGACAGAGGGAGAGCGAAAGTGGGGCCGAGACGAGTATAATGGAAGAAATAATTTCCCAGCTACAAAAATTAGCTCTCGAGTAACCGCAGATAAAACCGAGTAGTTAGGGCTGCTTCCTGATGAATATGAATGACCCCGAGTGGAGGTTCATTTTACGCCCCAAATATGCAAAATTCCAAATAGCTTTTTGGCGGCTGCCGAGGACGGGTAGG